CACACACAGAAACGACATGAATCTTCCCACGAAAGGCGAAAGCGGGAAGATTCATTCCCGCTTTCTGTTTCCGGAAGCTGTTCAAGCGGGAATGAATCTTCCCGCTTTCTCAGGAAGATTCGTTTCTCAGAGAGGGAGAGAGAGAGAGAGAGAGAGGGCGCACCCTCTCTCTCTCTCTCTCTCTCTCTCTCTTCATGAAACGACGTGAATAGGGAAACAGAAAGCAGGATTCTTTTCTCCAAGAAAGAGAGAGAGAGAGAGAGAGAGAGAGAGGGGCAGCGACCGGTTCTCTCTCTCTCCCTCTTTGAGAAAAGAAACGGGAATGCATAGAGAGAGAGAGAGAGAGGGGCGGCGACCGGCTCTCTCTCTCTCTCTCTTTGAGAAAAGAAACGGGAATGCATGTTCCCGCGAAAGCGGGAAAATGCATTCCCGTTTCATTTTCGAAACCATAGCCGGAAGATGAACCATTCGTTTTTCTTTTTTCTTTGTTTTTTTTTGTTTTCTTCTTGCCCATTTTTTCCGTCTTGTACATTTCACATTCCGGATGGCTGCGCCCGGTAGTAGGAGCCTCGGCACGGATCGGCGTACCGGTCGGCCAAGGCTCGGACTCCATAGCTGGGCCAGGTACTGGTGGTTTAACTGCCACACAAACTCTTTTCTATCCCATCCCATTGCTAGTGGGAGTCTCGTGAGTATGTTCAAAAAAAAAAATAATAATAATAATAACGTTCGGAATAGACCTGAGGGTTGTAAGCTAAACCGGCTAATCCTCCCTGGATTACCCCGGTTAACCCCAAGTTAAATTGTGACGCCCCCGGCCTAACTGTTTACATAGTAATGAATAGTAGTGTTCAAAAAAAAAAAAAAAAAAGACGACATTCAAATGTGAAAGCTCGGCCTTTTTATCCATTTATTGAAAGAAAAAAGAAGAAAGTGGGAAAACGGCGACGGCCTGGAGATATCGTCATTGCGCTGACCGGCACCTTGTAGTTCAGAAATGCCGTCTTGTTTATCAGGTTCCATCATGTAGATTCGAACGTGGTTCTGTGTTTCAACAGTCCTTGGGTGCACCGACTAAGATAGGTTCATTGTTTTTTTTAATACCTCCGATAAGGGATACGATGCCACGATTTTCCAGTACGAAAACTCCACCTGTTTCGCTCTATTCACTGCGCGCCAAGATTCGCTGCAATGCGCAATAAGACGGACACTTTGGAGGTGTCTAGTAGGCAAGCCTAGCCCTGTGACCCCTCCCGGACCCTCCGTAGTCCTGAAAATTTATTTCAATATCAATATGATGTGGCCGCATTGTGGCCCGATGGACCACGGTTCAGATATTGAACTGATAAGAAGGGAGCCTTTTTTGCAGAGCGAGCACAATATCTCATACGATCAGGGGGTGAAGTCCCACCGCCGAAGTTCAGTTTAGAAAACACAACCGTGTGACACCATTTTGACATTGATTCGAAACAAAAAATTAAAAGACAAAAAAAACGCTAGAAACAGCTTTTCTCCTTATTTTTGATGCAGTAACTCGGAGAAATGAAACACGTCTGGCACAGTCGGAGTGAATGTCTCCGTGAAAAAAGGGTACTTCCCGTGGTGAGGGCCCTGAGGGGACAGGAGGTCACCATTCGTAAAATGGACAGGGACAACATGGATGGCCAGATGCGTTCATTGCCCAAAGAAGGAAGAAAGTTTGATGCGAGAGAGCCTAACACAGCTGTCAGAGTTCCTCCGTTTCAGGGTGTAATGATATCTTAAAAAGTAAAAAAACGAAAGGCTAGTAAGTTGAGATGGCCATATACGTTCATTACCCAAAGAAGGAAGAGAGTTTGATGCGAGAGAGCCAAACACAGCTGTCAGAGTTCCTCCGTTTCAGGGTGTAATGACATCTAAAAAATAAAAAAAAACGAAAGGCAAGTAAGTTGAGAAATGTACCCTAAAATGGATTCCCGCGCAAACCAAAAGGGCCAACGCATACTACAAAACGGATTTCACATCAAAGAAAATTCTACAAAATGACCAAATCTAATAGGTTATTCTCCTGTATTTCGGTACCCTTGATTCTCCATACATCAACGGCAGAGCTCCGTCCAACCACGAGACACGTGATAGAAAGCTCAGCGTTGAGAAAACTCAAATTCGGCGGTGGGACTTCACCCCAGTAGTTGGATCTTACTACGTTCAATAGATCCATTAAGAGCTGGGGGGAAAAAAAAAAGAAAAAAAAGAAAGAGCTAACCCCGTATTAGTAACAAACAATTAGAAACAAAACAGAGAAAAACACAATCACCCTAGGTTACCGCCGATCTCTACCGCCGATCCCTATAGCCAGCACATTGCTAGTAATCAGGGCCTCGCCGCACCACTCGCCAAACGCAAACATCCTGAACGAATCTGAAACATGTCCCACTAAAATTCGTCGGATACCCTTTTTGCGGGTGATGTGGCGAGGGCCTAAGCCTAAAGCATAAGAATTACCAGATATTCAACGGTCGCCCTTCGTTCGAAATGCCGGGACCATTTCCCACTTGCGGGGGTAAGGTTATATGTCGTGTATTTTTTAACGTGGTCACAATGTGCCCATGAGATTCTCAGATCGGACGGCGGCTAACAATGTTATCTCTGAGATTATCTTGGTTAGCTTGCTAGCACTACATGTTCTCTGTTATTCACGGGGGATGGGATTCTCTTTTCTTTACATTTATCATGCTCCATGGACCTAGTCCAACCAGCAAAGACTATTGGATTTACTTCCTGAATCTGGACGAGCTTCAGGAGAGTAGAATTTCCATTGATTTTTATTTTCTGCATCTCTGCACAAAACACAGCCAGATTCAGGAATTAAACCCATTCTCTTTGCTAATGGGACTAGGCCCCAAGTCTAATGAGTCCTCGGTATCCGATCCTGTATATCCGCTTCTGTATCCTAGATAACGAAGAGTATATGCGTCATTCCCCTACAACTCTCTACATGTGTCTGAACTAGATTTTCCTCACGATAAATTCGGACTGTTTAACAATGTATTGTATTGGAACAATCCCCTTCTGCAGATACGTTTAGAATGTTGTGCAGTGGAGACAGGCCGAATACGACCTACGGAACAGATCTTGTTCTAGTGGAACCTCGGCCCCATACAAAGTCGGTTTTTTTTTTCGTTTGTTTTATTTTTTCGTTTTCCAAAGGGTAACCGGGGGCAAACGATTTACACGTTCACAAAAGAAAACGTCCAGCACAGACTTCTAGAAGAATCGCATAAGCGTATAAGACCTACGGAACAGATCCTGTTCTAGTGGAGCCTCCGCCACGTGGCAATGTCGTTATTTTGTTTTTTTTTTTCGTCGTTTTGTCGTTTTCTGAAGGGAGGCCGGAGGCAAACGATTTACTCGTTTCCGAAGAAAACGTCCAGTACAGACTTCGAGAACATTTGTATATGGCCCCTCCCGATACTGTTCTAATGGAATGACTTGTGCAGGCGTCTTCCAGTGGTCTAGCATGGCGCGTTGTGAAAATGCTCTTAATCTTATGATTACGCTTGAGGTGAGAGTCTACTGTACATCCCACATGACATGATGCAATGGTGCTGCAGCCAAACAGCCTCTCATGACCAGGGTGTTCTTCCGTTCCAGTTACGTCCCACGATTGAACTTTGCGAGTGCAGTTTAATCTTGTACATCCTTCAGAGCCACAGGCCAACGGCACTCGGGGATGCACCTATCACCCCGAACAATACCCGAGGCAGTGTCCAGCAGGCGCACATCCCGACCGGTAGATTGGAGTCACAGGCCAAGGGTACTACTCGGGGATGCTTCTATCACCCCGAGCCAAGGGTACTAATTGGGGATGCTCCTATCACCCCGATTAACACATGGGGCAGTGTATTTTTCCACAAACGATTGTTGTTATTATTATTATTTAAAATCCTTAAATACGAACATTACTTGGTTGAAGTCGGGTTCAGATACGTGCACATGTTTACCAAGGGATCGATCACAAATGAAGGACCTGCCATAATGTGTGGTTAAAAAAATAAAAAAAAATTGTACGCACGAAGTCAGAATGCACGCTCATGGAAGAAACAGAACAGCATCATATCGTGAACGAGAAGCGAAGACTTCGGGACTCGGCATGACTCTCACCAAATGTGAAAAAGACAAGCATAGTTCAAAAAAAAAAAAAAAAAGGACAAACATAGTGGGCGCACTGGACCTTCCCACTCTTCTGGGAGAAGATACACCCGCCACTTCAGACATTCGGTGAGTTGTGCGACGAGCGCTTTGGTCCCAACTGATTTCACCGATGGTCGACTCCTCTCCGCACAGGTAGATCCAACCGAGGATCGAAAAAAATCACACGTCTTGAGCATGATGAAGGAAAAGAAACATCCTATGAACACACCCCAAAGGCCAACAGCGAACAACATAAGAATACACGAAGGGCCTCCTATAGTAGAAAAGATTGCACGAACAAAACGGTTTAGAGAGCGTGAAGAAGCTGATTTGACAAGCAAAACGATACAGATCATGGTTTCGCAATCAATAGACGACAACAACAACAGAAAAAACAAACAAATGCAAAAGAGAGACATCATGAAATCTGTAACCGAAGGGGGGAAAAAAAAAAGGCATCCGGAGACTCCCAAGGTTGTACAAAACGGTTTGCCTTCAAGCTACGAAGTCCATTAGGAAGACAGCGTCGGAATAATCCATCGGTCACCTCCAAGCACTTCTTCGCGGCCCCATCCCCTCCACAAAAAAAAGACGTCGAGAAACCACTCTCTCGCGGGTGAGTGCAAAAAGTGTGGAATGCGGTGGTAGTCTGGGGCAAAAAAAAAAGCCGACCTCAACGCGGAAAACCGCGAAATCTCCGCCTCCAACGAAAATTCGTTCTTACGCCTACGTCTTGAACAACTTACATATACGGCCCTACTACAAGTGCGTACTTACATATATGTGAATAAAGAGAGAAAAACAAAGAGAGGGGGAGAGAGGGAGAGAGAAAGGAAAACCTTCCCTCTCATTCGCTCAAATACGTTCCGCTTTAGTGAATTGCGGCAACAAGGAGCTTTCCAAGATCTCCACCCTCGTCCGCGGCAATTCTCTCAGCAAGAGGCTTCTTGTACTTCTCCTCGAACGCGACCTTGACGTCTTCCAGGTCCATGTCAGCACGGGCGCAGATGAAACGGATAAGAGCACCTTCGTCAGTCCCGATGCCAGCCACAGCGTCATTGATTGCGTCCGCGAAAACCTGTGGTGTAGACAAAATAGCCCGCACGAGGTACTTCAACGCATCCTCCTCCTTTCCATTGAATTCGTCATCGATCACTTCAATAATATCCTCTCCAAACTTGGAAAGGTAGGCAGTGAAGACGGCCTTGAGAGTAGGCTTGCTCTCCGAAGTCAGAATATCAACAAACACACCCTCATCTGTGCCCCATTTGCCCTTTCCGGCATCGTAGAGCTTCTGTGCGAGCTCAGAAGCGCGGTCCTCGTCGGCTACAGTATCCGACCGGGGAACCGTTACCAATTTGACAAGCATCTTGCCAACCCAACCACCTACCTCTCCCGCGATATCACCAGCGAGTTCCTTCCCGTACAGCTTCTCATAGGCCAAAGAAATGGCCTTCAGCTGGCGGGAAGTGCGCGTCGCTGCGAGCTCGCAAAGAAGCTTCTCGTTGGTCCCGAGACCCGCCATAGCATTGTGAAACCACTCGGCATCGCGCTCGGGGGCTGGTTGAAAGAGCGCCAACAAGGCGTGGCAGAAGCGAGAGCCGCCCAACTTCGCCTTCAAGGCCTCCTTCGGATCCTCGCCGAAGGTTTTCTTGTACCCAGACCATATCTCAGCCCGCTGGTCCCACGATCTTTTCGCAGCGAGAGTGACGAGATTTTCGACCGCATCATCATGCGCGTCAGAATTCAGACCTGCGTTCGCGAAAGAAATTCAAAAAAAAGCATCAACACAACGAGTTAGATTGTCATTCATCGACCCGTACTGCCAATGAAAAAAAATCAATACGAGTTACATTGTCACTCATCGACCCGTATTACCACAGTAAAAAAACTCAATCATCGACCCGTATTGCCAAAGTAAAAAAGAAAATAAATACAACGAGTTAGATTGCCATTCATCGACCCGCACTGCCGAAGTACACACACACACACACCATTTCATCATCTTCTGGCCTAAGTACACACACACACACCATTTCATCATCTTCTGAGTAGGACTTTTTATAAGTGGGACTTCCGAGTCGAAAATGAACTAAGTGGGACTTTCTGAGGACTGGGAGAATACGAATCATTGCATGTGAAGTTTGCAATTCCTATCTACTTTCCACGGCGAGATTCTACTTTGCGATTCAGAAATTATTTATTACCTACTTTCCAACGCATTTCGTTTTCTTTTTTTCCCATGGCAACTCGTCTGCTTAAAGGATACGATTAAACATGCGGACTTATGCCCCATTGCCCCCCAGACTTCCAGCACCCCGTCTTTCCTAAATTCCTTTCAAGCGACAAATTGCGTACTGAACATGCAGACTTAAGCCCCCCCGACTTCCCGATTCTTAACATAATGGTACACTTCAAAAGCCAGCACCCGTCTTTCCTAAATACCTATTGCTTTTCATCTGCACAGTCCGAAAAAATAAGAAGATTTATTAAATGTCTTGAAGGGATCAAAAGCTGATGGCTCATTAACTCACTTATCATTTACCTGCGGACCGTAACATTCAAAGTGTGTGAAGGAACACTACTGCGTACTTAGTGGTAAAATTTCTTACATACCGTCCTACTACCATCTTCAACCGAATAGAACGCCTGGTCATTATAGCTGTCTTTGACTCTTTGGGCCAACTTCCAGTCTAAAACAACGAAAATGACCGGGCGTTCTATTCGGGTGAGGATGATAGTAATCACCTCAAGCAAGGACGTTTAGGAGACAGCGACAAAAAATGTTGACAGACGGGAGAAGAGGAAACCGACCAGGAAAGGGAGAGAAGGAAGAAAAGCGAGTCACAGGAACTAATCTTTAAGGATCCGCGGTCAGAGGCGTTCACTTACAGAGAGTAAAAGCCCTTGTACTCAGAGGGCCTCGCCAAACGACTCACCAAATATGCTAAATGAGAATTAACCTTCCGCTAGAACATAGAACGATACACACCACACCTTTCGGCTATATTCGGTGCGGTAAAGCCCGAAGTTTTATTCCCGTCATAATCGAAGTCGGAAAATCGAACAGCGGAATCACTGAACCCCATCACTCACCGCATGCAAAAAAGGCAAAAGCCATAATGGGTGTATCCACAGCTAAAATGGTGGTGGGTGCACCTTCCACTGTTCTACCTAAAGATGCACGCTCCAAATCGGCCAACTAACACGTAACAACTTTTCATTTTCAAGGTTAGTGTGTACTAAACTGTGACACAAACACACACACACACACCCACACACACAAACAAAAAGAGAGAGATTTGAAATAAAAGGTAAATAATAGGAAAAAAAGAAAGAGGAGGACGCGAGTCCAAGAATACTGACCTTCTACAGCAGAGTGAAAAAGCTCGATCTCACGCTTGGCATTGAAGCCACGAACCGGCTTGATCGTCGCCATAGCCGAGAGAGGATGGAACGGAGGAGAGGAAGGTGAAAGAGGACACGAAGCCGCAGAATAGATGCGAGTCAGCTACTTCACGCGTAAACACACAAGAAACTGACACGCGCAGAAAAGTCGCCTGTGCTCGCTCTGCCCCGATCGCAAACTTCTTGTGCAGTTCGTTATATACAAAATCTCCCTCCGTACACCAGCCTGTGCACGGGCCTGTGCGCGTTCGCTCACATTCCCGACCAGGTAGGTGGGACAGAACACGAGAGACAACCCACAAGGGGGAGGGGGGGCGGAGACAGGAAGAGAGACGAACCAGAAACAGGCGGGAGCGTTTGGCGGGAAAGAAGCGGGGTGGGGTGCGACGAGAGCATCAAAAGCCACGCGGGGCTTCCGCGAAAGCACAAGGACAACCGTGGATCACACAGATCAACGCCACATATTTGAATTGAAATAAGATTTCCGAGCTCCTCCTGCGACAGCACAGGCGGAATGGAGAGGCCCTTGAGAGATGCAAATGGAAATAGAGAGAGGACGAGACCCCGGGGTTAACTCCGCTTGCACAGATTAAGAGATCTCCGCCGTTGATCTTCGTGATCTACGGCTGATATCTCTCGGTTCGTGCAAGTGGGAGCTAGCCCGGGGCAAGGTCCCACTTGCGCCGGTCAGGAGATTTCGGCCGTTGATCTTTGCTATCTACGGTCAGTATCTCTTAATTCGTGCAAGTGGGACCTAGGGTCTTCCCCCGAAAACAACGTACGGTCATTATAGCCGAATTTAGACTGAAAGATACCGCAAATTCTGCTATAATGACCCCCAAATTCTGCTAGAATGACCGTGCGTTGTATTCGGGGGAAGAAGGGTAGCTCCCGGGGGGAAGGAGGAGACAATGGGGGCGAATTGGAGAGACAGGGAGATAGCGACAGACAAGAATCCACAAATCCACTGTCCCAATCTCTTGCCTTGGCGGGCTCGCGCCCCTCCCCCCTCACCTCCTCTCCCTCCCTCGTCTTCAATCTTGTGTCTAATCTGACACCGGGTGGCCTTTTCAGCCCAGGGTGGCCTTATTGCCTTCAGGGAACCCCCAGTGGGGGACACCGGCCAGGGGGCACCCAGTAGCAGAGGGACCGAGCATCATCTGAGCGGCCAGTCGCTGTGCCTCCCTGATTACCCCTCCCCCTATGAACATCAGCAGAGACTGCTTTTTCTAGGTGGCGGGCACCAAGCATGCCCAGGTATGAGGCCAGTGGAGATTGAACCCAAGACCTCCTGAAATCCACTTGTGCGCGGTACCGACTGAGCTAGGTCGCTGGATGCCTCCTCAACATTAAAATTTCCATTTGGAAAAAAAAAAAAAAAAAAAAAAAAAAAACCTAGTGTGTAATGCCCGCACTTCTGGGAGGGTGTATCTTTGCCAGTTGTACGGACAGATACGTCCTCCATTTAGCACAATTGGTGAGCTGTGCGACCCGTGGGCGACGCCCTATGCACTGTTTCATTCATATCACCAACCCCATCATTTTTGTTTGGGATCCAACTCCATCATCACTTCACTTTTTCTTTTTTGTGCCTTCATCCCCCCCCTACCCCACATGGCGGTCTCTAATGGCCAATATTGTTGCTGAATAGCAACCAACAACATCAGCCAAGGTCCTGCCAATGCTGGGTTGGGCGGCCACCGGGTTATCTCTTGCTGATAGAACACCAAGCTTGCCCAGGCATGTATGTCTTCTTCTTTGGCTTTTTACGGCACCAGTCCGACCCGGGGATCAATCGTATTCTTGTTGTTGATCCTCTGCTCCTATGTCCTTACCTAAGCCTCTATTAAGAGAGAAGAGAGATTACAAAAACTGGTTTTGATTACTGAGCTGGGATCTCAGAGAAGAAGACTGATGATGGGGTTACCGGGGGCCAAGTCCCACTTACGCTGATTCTTCATGTCGGGCCGTTGATCTTCCAAATCTACGGTCAGAAGTTGAGATTTCGGGTAAGTAGGACTTGGCCCCGGATCACAGGGGGGTAGCCAGAGAGCAGACGGAGGGGAATTGAGGAGTAAAGGAGAGAAGCAGGGATATGGGGAGACTACAGGTAGGAGGGAGAAGGTGACTAGGAAGAGTAAGGAAAGGCACAGAAATATCCTAATGAAGTGTACTACTGGCTATTCGACACTCAATGTTTTAAGATTTATGGCCTAAAAGGGGCTCGGCCTAAGCCCGCCTAATGTCTTCTTCTTTGATATCCAACTCTTCCACCGTTCCGTGGGTCTCGCGCCACCCTACAACATTCGAATTTTTGGTCCGTATCCATCCAAAATGCTGTACTTACTCGAACGTATTCGTCCATATTGCTCTCTACGTACATGTCGAATTTTTGGTCCGTATCCATCCAAAATGCTGCGTTGAACGAAAAAGCGCGGGATGTTGGAAGCAAAAAACAAAAGAAAAAAGAAACGGTGGTCTCTGCCGGGGCTAGGTCCCACTTGCACGAATTAAGAGCTACTGACCGTAGATAGCATAGATCGACGGCCGAAATCTCCTAATTTGCGCAAGTGGGACCTTGCCCCCGGACCCCCACCCCATCTCCGACTACCGCTGTTGGGGCGGGAAAAAAAAAAGGAGAAAAAAGCACTGGTGCGAGGCCTCGTGTTTGGTGTCGGCTGGACGGGCCGTTTCTTTTTTTTTTTTTTTTTTTTTTAATGGACGGGCCATTTCGTTTGCCTGGGCTGGGACCACTCCTGGAAGGAAGCTTCACGGGAGGGCGTGTCCTGAGGCCCGCGCGTGGCGACATGGCAAAGGGATCTGAAGCTCGTGAAAGACGCGAAAACGCGTGCTAATAAAAGAGCGCCAAGAGATGGGATGCCGTCCGATTTCAGGGCGTACTCACACAACCTCTATCTTACATGTATCAGACCACATTTACGTCCGACCTGGATGTATCTAAACCCAATTTACGTCTATAAATAAGTAAAAAAAGTCCTTGTGTTTGAGTATGCCGTCACAGGTGGTCTTGGGCACCTAATTTGGCGCTAAATAAAGTCAGATACATCAAAGAACATAATATGTTAATCTTCATCAATGGCGCGCTATACGCGCTTTTGGAAATTCCGCGGAGGGCACACTCACATAACGACGACGAGCCACAGTGAATACAAAAAAAAAAAAAAAAAAAAAAAAAAATCATATCCCCTGCCCAAGACGACACTCACGCCCGATATGGCGAAATCCCGAAGCGAAACAATCCCGCCGGAGATCCGTATCCAGGGATACGCCCAAACGGCGCGAGGTCGCGTCTCACCACACAGCAAGGCCCACGTTTTCGCACCTCGCTGCAACATACACGTGAACAACCGAAAAGTCTTCAAGTCATTCACTTGTCCTTTGTGCTCCCTCCTATCTACTCGGAGGGCCTCGACACATCATTGTCCCAAAGAATATGTACGAGTGCAATGTCCCTCAGGGGGCACACTCGGCGACCCCAAATCCGCAATTTTTTTTTTTTTTGTTTCTTTTTTTTGGAAAGCTTTAACTGTGTCATTACAAAAATAATATCCGGACGAGGCCGGGGACCTCACAATTCTACCCGGAGTTGTCCTGACAGCCTTAGCCAGTTTCGCTTACGAGCCAGGCTCCTATCTTCAGAATAACCTGCCCAATGAAAAACTCCTCAGCTATGCTGGAAACGAGGTCCAGCGTCCTTTCCAATATCACTTCCAAAAAAAAAAGAAGAATAATCTTGAAGCACAGTAAAAAGAAGAGCTATCGTCCTTCGGGACATCCGTTAAAATTGGAACGATACAGAGAAGATTAGCATGGAAAAAAAAAAAAAAAAAAAAAAAAAAAAAAAAAAAAAAAAAACAAACAAACAAACAAACAAACAAAGAAGAAGAAGAAGAAGAAGAAGAAGAGCTATCCACACTGACTAGCTCTTAAGCTTACGAGCACAAGCTCGACTCCCCTCACAATTGTCACTATCCAAGCAGGTCCAGACTAGGTTAGGCTGGAAACCGGGTCCAGCGTCCCTTCCTGGCCTACCTCTTACATTGCTACTTTAAAATGGTGGCCTAATACGGCCTGCCTCTTGACCAGCTTGGGCATATCGAAACCTTGCCCTACACCGTTAGTCCTGTAGCAACCAATCAGCTAACTGCAAATTACCATCCGAAGACACAGAAGCAAAGGATGAACTTTTCGCCCATGTTTTGGAAAACCACCACTGATTTTTAGTTTTCCAGTCAGCTCGAATTACCAGTCTAATCCCTGCTCTAATCTGGTTGATAGAATGTTGTACTACTATAGATTCTGAGCTGAACACCTTGGCGTTTCTTGCTGACCAGACTGCCTCAAAAATAATGCCTCTGCAGATCAGTGCTGCGTATCCTTCACCACCACCGAAATCCCCTTTTCCAGTCCATTTGGCATGCAGAATAAAGTCCTCCCCCCAGTCCCCTGAGAAGCCAGGGAAGCTTTTCCATTTCTCTTTCCACCACTCCCAAATTTCTCTGGAGAGCGGGCAGAAGAACCAAAGATGGGAAGCAATTTCCCAACCCCAACCACACCTGATACAGGTGGTTGGGATGTCCATCCCTTTTGTGTTTAGCCAGGTCGCCGAGGCGGTAATTTGTAGCGATTGCAGCCACTGTAGCGCCGCTTGTTTTCGGGAAGGAACCTTCTTCAAAGCTTTCCATAACTTCCAGAAGTCTGAACTTTGTACCCCCCCATTTTGACACAGTGCTGTTCGTCTTTCCGCCGTAAGAATAGGCTTCTTTGCGATCTTCTGCTTTTGCTGCTGCACCCCAATCTTGGGTTTATAACGCACTATAGGGCAGTTTTGAGGAGGGCTACCGTCTAGCTTCCACCCATATCCCACTGGTTCCACCACCCACACTGCCTTTTTTAGGATAATTAGAGAAGGGCCGATTTAGGGTTTTGGGCATGGTTCACATCACACTGCTGTGCCTTTTCAGATGGGACAAGGTCGGGGCCGTCTGGAGAAATGGGGATTTGGTACTTGGATGGTCACACGGCGCCATCCACTAATTGTGCAAGAACTTTTTGTGAACGAATTTTTGCCAATTTTTGAAGAAAAACGCAACAAATGAAAAAGGGTGTTTGCGGTCACCTCCAGAGGTGACCGCAAAATCCCTTGCCCCGCGGCTTCCCAGGCCGCTGACAAATGGGCACTGGAATAGTACATTTGGGACTTTGGTAGATCCGTGTGACCGGCCTTCTACCCTCTTTTTTGGGATTTTGGGATTATAGGTCCCCGTGTGAGTATGCCCTAAGTCTCGCTCTCATCAATTGTTCCTGGTTCCATGCGCGGTCTGTAGGGTCCTAGTTCAGACAGACATCGACCGTAGATTGTACTAAGTCTCAGTCTCATCAACGGTTCCT